CAAAGGCTGAGAGGGGATATGTTTTCTCTCCATAAATATGTATAAATACATCTGGGTGAACAGTAAATACCAAGGAGGGAAAAGAATTATTTAAGATAAAGAATGGTGTTGGCATTACTGCATATGGGTATAAACTGCCTATTAAAAAATGTGTGCTAGAAATTAGAAGACAATTTCTAACTATCAGGAAAGATTCATAGATTCATAGTTGGTAGGGTCGGAGAGGACCTGAGCAGATCCTCATGTCTGACCCCCTGCCATGGGCAGGAATGAATACTAGGTTCATATGACCCCCACTAAGATAAGCTCATATGACCCCAGCTAGGTAGTAATCAAGCCTCCTTTTAAAGACCCCCAAGGTAGGAGCCAGCATCACTTCCGTTGGAAGCTGGTTCCAGATCCTGGCCACCCTGACTGTGAAGTAGTGTCTCCTGATGTCTAGCCTGAACGTACTCTCAATCAGCTTGTGGCCATTATTCCTTGTTACTCTGGGAGGTGCTCAGGGGAACAGGGTCTCACCCATCCCCCTCTGGTCCCCCCTGGTAAGTTTTTTTACTGCCACTAGATCCCCTCTCAGCCTCCTTCTGTGAACGCTGAACAGGTTCAGGTCCCTTAGCCTCTCCTTGTAGGGCCTGCCCTGCTGCCCCCTGATCATGTGAGTGGCCCTCCTCTGGACCCTCTTCATGCTGTCTACCTCCCTCCTGAAGTGTGGCACCCAGAACTGGACGCAGTACTCCAGCTGTGGCCTGACCAGTGTTGCATAGAGGGGGCGGATCACCTCCTTGGACCTGCTTGAGATGCATTTGTGGATACATAACAAGGTACGATTCGCCTTCCTGACTGTTACCTCACATTGGTGGCCCATGTTCATCTTGGAATCAATAATGACTCCAAGATCCCTTTCTGCCAGTGTGCTTTCAAGAAGGGAGTTCCCCAGCCTATAGGTATGCTGCTGGTTCTTCCTGCCCAAGTGCAGTACTCTGCACTTGTCAGTATTGAATCCCATCTTATTCACATTTGCCCACCCCTGTAACCTGTCCAGGTCCAGTTGTATCCTGTCCCTCCCTTCTAGTGTACCCACCTCGCCCCAAACCTTGGTGTTGTCAGTGAATTTGAACAGGGTGCTTTTCACCTCCTCGTCCAAGTTGCTGATAAAGAAATTGAACTGTACAGGCCGGAGGACCGAGCCCTGGGGGACTCCACTGCCCACCTCCCTCCAGATCGAATATGACCCATCCACCACCACTCTCTGTGTACTGCCCCCTAGCCAATTTGTGACCCATCTGACTGTGTAGGCATCAATGCCACAGTCACCTAGCTTTTTAATGAGAATGGGGTGGGAGACAGTGTCAAAGAAGTCCAGAAAGACTACATTCACCGTGACACCTGCGTCAAATGATTTTGTGACCTAATCATAGAAGGCCACCAGGTTGGTCACGACCTGCCCTTAATGAACCCATGCAATTTGCCCTTGAGCATCCTCCCCCCTGCTGGCCCCTCCCAGGTGTGCTCCTGGATAATTTTTTCAAAGAGCTTCCCCAGGACTGAAGTAAGACTAATGGGCCTATAGTTGCCTGGGTCCTCCCTCCTCCCTTTTTTGAAGAAAAGGACTACATTGGCCAGAGTATCACAAGTGCCATGCCAGGGGCCCTGCAATGACCTCTGCCAATTCCCTCAGCACCCTGGGGTGGAGAGCATCTGGACCTGCTGATTTGAATATGTCCAGCCGCTCCAGAAGTTCCCTAACTCAGTCCTCCCTGATCCTGGGCCTGCCAGAGTCACTCCTGAGTCTGTCCTGAATCCTGGTGGGGGAGAAGTCCTGGTCCCTGCTCAGAAAAATGGAGGCAAAGAATTTGTTGCAAAAGTCTGCTTTTTCATCTGGTGCAACCACCAGATTGCCAAGCATAGTTTTTTTTTGCCCCACATTGCCTGGTGCCTTCTTTTTATCTCTTATGTATTTAAAAAAGGACTTTTTGTTGTCCTTGATCCTTGTTGCTAGCCCTAGTTCCATCTCTGCCTTAGCCTTCCTAACAGCTTCTGTACAGACTCTTGCTATGGAGGTATAATCTTCGTTGGTGATGGCCCCGCCCTTCCACTGGACGTATGCCCCCTTTTTGGCTTTTAGACATTCCTGAATGCCTTTGGTGAGCCAAGGGGGCTTTTAAGCGCTCTTGTCCCCTTTGACTCACATTGGGACTGTCACCCTGTGGGCTCGGAGGATCATCTCCTTAAGGAACGACTACTTGTCTTGGACACCTAGTTCTCCTACTCTCTGGGACTGGAATGCCTCTCCTACCAATCTCCTCAACTCATTGAAGTCGGCCCTCCTGAAGTCAAGGGCTACTGCCTTGCTGCAGACCCTTGACACCCTGCGCTGAATGGTGAATACAGTAGGCAATGATTGCTATCACCCAGCTGGTCTAGGACCCGGAGTCCCCTCACCAGGTTGTTGCCTGTGGCCAGGACCAGGTCCAGCAAGGCATTTTCGCTGGTGGGACTGTGCACCTCCTGGGTTAGGTGGAGGTCTTGTATCTCAGCAAGGAACCTACGTGAGTGGTCAGACCTGGCTGACTGGTCCTCCCAGCAGATGTCCGGGTAGTTTAGATCACCCATGATGACCACATCCCTTGATTTAACTGCCTCTGCAAGCTGACCTAAGAATTCCCAGTCCAGCTCTTCCCTTAGTTGGGTGGTCTGTAGTAGACACCCACCGTTAAGTCCCTTTCCCTGAGACCCCCTTGTATTCTGACCCAGAGCACTTCATCCTGCCCCTCTTCTGATCCCATCCTGTTAGTTGAGGATGTGTATTACTCTTTGACATAGAGTGCCATACCCCCGGCTTTCCTCCCCATTCTGTTCTGTCTGTAGCCCCTAATGTTTACTGCTCAATCATGGGTTGAATCCCACCAGGTTTCAGTGAGCCCTACTATGTCTGGGCTTGTACTAGCTATCCGGAGGGCGAGTTCCTCCTGCTTATTCCCCATACTATGAGCATTAGAGTAAAGGTATTTAAGGCCTCCTGTCGATGCAAGTACCCCCCCTGTTTCCTAGGGCTATCTGGACCCTTGTCACTTACCTCTTGTGCTCATCACTTGTCTTGGCTGGGAGGTGTCCTCTTGTCCTCCTGTGGCCACATCCCCCAGTAAAGCTAGTTTAAAGCATGCTGTACGAGATCAGCCAACCTGGAATAGAAAATATGCTTGCCTTTAGGAGAGAGGGGAAGCCCACCCCAACTGAGCATGCCCGAAAATGCGGGTCGTTGTCCAAAGAACCCAAGGCCTGCCTGGTGGCACCAACTCCAAAGCCTCTGGTTGACCTCATTGATGTAGGCCTCATGACACTGTCTGCGTCTACTTACCGGGAGGAAGTACGGGTTTGAAGCAGCCTACTGACCACTTAAAACACTAGAAGAAATGGAGTAAAGCAACCTTACTGGGTGTGTCTACACATGTAATTAATGTGCATGAATAAACTCCAGGGCTTATTGCTCCAGAGTTTTTTGCTCTCGGGCATGCTTTTTAAATGTGCGCCTGGGAGCAAAAAAAATCGGGTAAATTCCTCCAGAGTTTAGTTCATAGTTGTTGTTAGGGCTGTAAGGGACCTTACAGCTCATTGGGTCCAGCTCCCCTGCACTTGGGCAGGAAAGACTACTGGGATCAGATGACTCCAGCAAGATGGGCGTCAAGACGCTTTTTGGAGATTGCCAGGGTGGATGACTATATCACGTTTGGAGGGAGCTAGTTCTAAACGCTTGGTACTTAACTTGTAAAGAAGTTTTTCCTTATGTCTAACCTGAAGCGATCCTCAATCAGCTTGTACCCATTACTTCTTGTCCTCCCCTGGGGGGGACCTTGGGGAACATATGTTTCCCCAGGCCCTGCTGTATGCTACTTATAGGCAGCAGCACATTAAATTCTGTCAGAGCAGCTCTGGCTGGCAGGAGTCCAAGGCTGCTCCAGCTGGGCTCAATGTGCTGTGGAGGAGCTGGCTGGGACACAAGGGTGCTTCAGGGTAAGGCTAGCCGGCAGGCAGCCCCCAAAATGAAGCACCCTCATGCCACAGCCAGCCAGGCAGTGTCTAAATGTGGGCTGCTGCATGAAAAAATTCTGGAGCAGGTTAGTACTTGAATTTACAAATACTAGCCTGCTCTGAAATTTATTAGTTTCATGTGCCCTAATAGGGCACACTTGTAGATTTGGAGACATTTACTGCAGAGCTAATTAGGCAGCTCCACAGTAAATGTCTCATGTAGCCCACTGATTTGAAGGTGGACCTAGAGTAGTCTATGAATGAATTATACACTAAGATTGCCTGTAATAGCAAGGGCCTATCTATGCTCAGCATGTGAGGAGGTCCCAAGCTAATCCCATGTTCCTATGAAATATGCAGCTTCAGTTTTGGCTACATGCAGAAGGTCATGACCTCTACAAGGACACCAAAAAAACTTCTATATCAGAGTTTTCTGTGTTTAAAAATCTTATTTCCATCATAACCCCTGATTTTCAAATCCTGATGTTTTTAGAACATTACATTTTATGAAGTGCAATCAACATGTGCTTTGAGACTGAGGTGAACTGAATAGAAGACTGATTATAAGTTATATTAGTAAATATGATTGTGTAATTCTTTGTGCTGTGCTTTACATTAATTTGTATTTTGCCTTAAAACAGTAGGATGTTTAGAGAATCTGGAAGAGAAGGAGGTTTAAATTAACTCTCTGTACAATAGGAGAGGCAGCACAAAAGAGCTTACATAGGGAAAATTAGACCTATTGCACTGATTCTGACATTTCCCACTGTCTACAAGTGAGCCTGAAACAGTGACCAATGTCACTGCTAATGAGGAGGAGGGAGCAGAGTGCTTTTGTTGTAGCTGCTTTTGCTGCATGTTCCTTCACTGATGACCTCCCCAGAGCACATCTCTGAATAAGCAAGCTGTTGGTATGGAAGCACCCACCTCATATAACAATAGTGTGAAATGCATTATGTTCATTCCCTCAGATACCAGAGCCTTTGCTAACAAGAAAGAAACTAATAGACTCAGCCATGCTGCAGTAAAGAACAGGAATGAAAGAGAGAGAGAGAGAAGGCATGTTGCTGTTATTCCAAAAGGTACTGGATGTTAAAGTGCAGCTCTTATAATTGTCTTGTCACATTTCGTGATTTTTGAAACTGAAAAGTAGTTTAAGATCAGATACTGACTAGAAGGGTGTGAAGGAAAGGCCTGAAGTTGCAGACAGAATTCTGCAAAGGAGAAGTGAATGCTGAAGAAAGATCCTTGTGAGAAGATATGCTAGGAAGAGGGGGGGTCTGAAATCTGATTAGCTGTGGCAAGCAAAAAAAAAAGCCCCTAGCATGCTATGGCCAGGATAGAAATAATAATGAGGATAATATTAATAATAAATGATGTAATAATACACAATTAAGGTAAGAGTTTGTGTTTGGAGAAGAGGGTGAATAAAAATGCCTCAGGCAAAAGGAATAAGTCCAAGTACAAAATGAAGACATTTCAAAGATGTAGTAAATTTCACAGGGTACATTATAAAACAAAGGCATATTAAACTGTAATAGTTGAAGTCACCACAAATATTCTTTGACCCCCATCACTTATGCTAATGCTATCCCAGAAAATTCTACAGAACCACTACCAGGACTTCCCAACTCATTCATATGACAATTCAGTTCAGGAGAAACAGAACTGGATTTTTTTCTTGAAGTTTGACCAGTGTATAACTTCACCTTTTATAACTTTGGAATATATTTAAAATTTTGTTTGTAATTTTGTTCTGAGGATCTCTCTCAATGAAATATAACCACAAATGTTTTAATCTGGAAACATGCCTTCAACACATTCATGATAGGGGCTGTTTCTGATCTCCGGCTAGTTTTATAGTTCCCATCAGTTCCCATTGACCTTACTATGCACAGTCTCTTGGCTATGCATACTCATAGTCCACTAAAGGAGTATGGTAACATGGCACCTTTATCACTGGTATAGCCAAATTTTCCTTTCCTTCAAATGAACTTCTGTTTCTACGGTGTCCTTTGCTTCAATGCAATTGCTGACAGGGATTTACTGAATTAACCTAGATGGCTTTAAGCCCCAATTCATGCTGGTGCAGCGTGTCTATATCAGGGGTTTGCACTGGTATAACTAATTGATTTATTTACTGCTGTGAAAATTTTCTTAACAAGAGAAGGCCTAAAGTGCTGGCCATGCTAGCTCTGTTGTTTGCAAGTAATCTCCCTCAGCCTGTCATTAGTATAAATCTGTCCTATTTAAGATTCCCATAGAGCTTATTTGCACATGAGTCACACAATAGCAGAGTTTACTTTCTCAGTTCCCTTTTACGCAAAGATGCTAGAAACAAATGGGCTTTATATGAGCTGTCTGCATTTCTCTGAAAATGTTGTAGAATCATAGAAAAGTAGAGCTAGGAGGAACTTCCAGAAATCATGTAGTACAGTGGTCACCAACCAGTGGATCTTGATTCACCAGTAGATCTTGGAGCCTCTTGTGGTAGATCTTGGAGCCTCTAGGAGTCGATCTAAGCTGGGGTGGCGGGCTGAGTGCCTGCGTGCATGCACATGTGCGCCCCAGCCAGCAGGTCAGTCTGTGGGTGAGGGAAGGGGCGGGGGCTAGATCAAGGCCCCCGCGGTGAGGGAGAGTGTTACAGAGGCAGGAGCGGGGTAAGTTGAGTGGGGCCGTGGCCAGGTGGGATCTACCTGCTGGGGAGGCACACCCACAAATAATTTTTTCTTGGTCTTCCCCCCCTTCCCTCCCCACAGACTTACCTGCTGGACAGGAGGGAAGGGGGTGGCAGTGATCTCCTACTTAAAAAGTATGGAGACCACTGATGTAGTACAACCCGACAGCAGAGGCAGGATCATCCCTATCCAAACCATCCTCTACAAATCCATTGTCTAACTTATTGGTAGAACTACACAGTCAACCCTGACACAACCACCATAACACCCTAACCTTCCACACGTAAAGCAGAGGGACAACAAAGGTGAATGTTGTGCTGCTATGAGGGTTGTTAAAATATGCTCAAGGAATTCAAGGAGGAGGGCCATGCCCTCACTACAGAAGACGCCATCTATCTGACCATGGGGCCAAATGTCTTCCTGTCCCCAAATATGGTGATCAGTCTACCCTTGGACAGAGAGGAAGGACCCTCTAGCAAGGGACCTCTGGGTTTAAGTAGCAGAAAAACTGGCACACTCCAGTAAAAGTCCCCAGCCTTGGCTGCAGTCAACTCCCAATGCTTCTGAGAAAGGAAAACAAAAAACAAAAAAAAACCAACAGCAAAAAATCCAACCAACTTAAACCCCACCCCAACAAAGTAACCCCTTCTTTCCCCCACCAACACACACAGTGCAGGTAGGGAACATGTTCCTTCCTGGCCCCATGTAGCAACAGCAAATTCCAGAAGTATGGGAAATACCCATAGTCGAACATAGGCATAGCTGACCAGTGGCTGTCCAACTTCTTCTTAAACATCTGCAGTGATGGAGAGTCCACAACTTCCCTAGGTAGTCATTTCACTGCCTTATAGTTGTAACAAAGAAGGAGTTTTTTCCTAATATCCTCTCAACCTACTTTACTGCAACTTCAAACCACTGTGTCCTTTTCTCAGCAGTATGAGAAAAGGTGTTTTTCCTTTTCCTTATGGCAGCTCTTCAAGTATTTGAAGACAGATATCATGTCCCATCTTAAGTGCCTTGTCTTCAAGCTGTACATGCCATTCCCTTCAGAGTTTCATAGTTGTTACGGGCTGGAAGAGACCTTAAAGATCATCGGGTCCAGCCCCCTGCACTTGGGCAGGAAGTCTGGATTAGACTCCTGATGTCCCCTGCACTGATCCAGACCTCTGGCCAGAGGGAATGCAGGATGAGGAAGCAGGAACACTCCAGCACTCCTGCACACCAAATTAAGGTTTCTCTCAAACCTAACCAATACAGCAGGCTAAAGGCAGTCAAGTCATCAACTGTGTACTATTAGACTTTGCAATGACTTAATATATTACAAAGACATGTGCTATGGGAGATAAAATTGGCTGTAGAGATACTTGGGAGAGTAAGACAGATGTGCTGAAGGGAAGATGTTTGAAGTTTTCCCATCCAATAAAGTAACTCATTAGGGTGAGGATGGCATCTCCTAACATGAGAGTGGGAGTAAACGGTTGACTAATCCGCTGCCTGACTTTCAATGGAGCAAGTGAGGGAAGAAGTGTCAAGCCAGCAAGACAAAACAGCATTGTTGAGAGAAGCAAGACACATGCACGGCAATCCTGCAGCAAGAGAATTAAGTCCAACAGCAGAGTAGGACTCACGGCAATGAACTCACACCTCAGAGAGGTGCCAGAGAGCACTGATTTGTCCATCAAGGCTTTTCTTGTTCTATGATAAAATGTAATGTCCCCTTCTAGGACCTTACCACTGTTTCACCATAAGGGCGCTAGTGTTTATTTGAAGGCATATAACCTGAGACCTTGGAGACACTCCACCAACCTCTTGAGACTAGACACCAACCTGACACAAAATAAAAAAGAGTGGCATAAATCAAACAAGTGTTTATAAATGACTTAGTAATATCAGAAGTTGTTAAAACAATAGAACACTTTCTTGTGGTTAAAAAAAATACTTTACAGTGAACATGGTTATTTTTGCCATTTTTGAATGGCTCGACAAAAAGAATTTAATTTATTGAGGTTCTCATTGGCAAATTAAATGTTGGGGCTATGGCATGGACTGCTTAGACACAGTTACTATCACTGACTTAGGAAAAGGAGTAAATGAACTGAACAGCAACGTGAAAGCCATGCGTATATCTGCTGAAATATGTAGCTCTTGTACAAAGCCTAGTAAATGACCTTAGATTAATGCTGATCTCATCATTAACTATCAAACCCTATTTTACCTAATTTTCAACAGTTCTTGCAATGCATAAAACTGTAGGATAAAAGTTCACATTTCTGGACTATAGCAAAATCTTTTCCCTGAAAATTACATTACTGATTCATATCTGTCTTTTACAATAAATACAAGAGCAGAAAAGTATGTGGTTACAGAAATATACTTAAGAGAACAAAGGTTATTCACTTTATATGTGAAAATATTGTTTTCTTTTGCATTAGTTCGTCAGCATGGCAGCAAGTTATCTTGTATAGTAAAAAATAAAATTAACTTGTCTATGTTTATTTTCTTTTGAAAACCCTTTTTTTCCAAGGATATGAACATCTTTAAACCATTACAGAGATATGGGTTTATGATTTAAGCAAATCAAGAAGTGCTTGCCTACAAATCTCCCTTTATCTGTTTTTGCAATGTACTATTTCAGTACCATTTCTTTGCTGGATCAGATTGCAGAATGGTATTGTTCAAATATATGCTCTTCATAAAAGCACAATTCTTACCCTGACAAAGGTTGCAACCCTCATGAGTTCTATACAATAGTTCATTAATGAGACAATTGGATCCCATTCACTTGCATGCTTCTAATGTATTTTCCATTTCACAATTATTGGATGAGTGTAGGAGACTAGAAACTAATACTATTGAAGTAAATAACATGGAAAAAACCCTTCTGTATCTAACTGAAATGAAATATTAGAACTGGATTGAAATAAACTCTTCAAAACAATGCCTCAGCCTCCAGGTAAAAAAGATTTCTGAAATGTCTTTGATGCCAAGGCAATAAAGAAATATTAAGAACTGCTTTGATTATTTGTCAGCTGGCAATATACTTAGACAGACTAGGTGACATCTAAGCCCCAGAAAAGTCAATGGGATTTCTTTCATTCTCTTCATTGGGCCCTGGATTTCCCCTATTGTTCTTCTGGAAGGAGGCATTATCATTCAAGTGGAAAGCTAACAGATAAACCCACAGCAGTGGTACATCTACAGCCAGATCGAATGCTCATTAAAATCAACAGAAGGCTTTGATTGATTTATTATTCATTATTACAATTAACTTGTATTACATAAGTAACGAGAAGCTACAATCAGAATTCAGAACCCAATTGCACTAGACTGTATACATGAATATAATACAGTCCCTTCCACAAAGGGTTTATTACTTC